AGAAGGAAACATTCTGACAACAGCTTGGAGGTGAGGGAGCAACCTGTGCTCTGGGAGCAAGAAGCCCGAAACCAAGAAGGCAAGAAGTTCAAGGAATAGCTAGGCACTGCGACTGTGGTGTCATAAGTGTTGTAGGAATAAGGCAAGAGAAAAATGGGGCTCCTTGGCATGGTGGTAGTAGTTAGATCTTGTAGGACCTCATAAGCTAATGTGATAGCTTTAGTTTTCACTATGAGTGAAATTAGGAGCTACTGAATTTTTTGAACACAGTAGTGCATGCTGTGTCTTTTATTTTATAAAGCTCATTCTGATTATAATGCTGAGAACAGTCATGGGTAGGACAGATAGAAGCAGGAAGACAAGTGAGGAACCTGGTGTTACAGATGACAGACGAATGTAGTTTGGGATCAGGACTGTAGTAGCCGAGAAGACAGTGCTCTGAATATGAACCCAGTAGGACGTGTGCAGGATGCCAAAGAACTGGAGTCAAGGATGATTGAAAATATTTGGCTGAGCAAATCTTTTATGTGGTACATTATGTTGATTGTAATTTTGTTACAGTTTTTTTCTTTTTGCCTGTGATTTAAAAACTTTAATTTTTCACTTTTTTTTGTAGCCTCTAGGTTTTGCCTCTTGGAGAAAGCCTCTTTAAGATTAGAGAAAAATTTATATTTTTGCTTAAGTAGTTAAAAAAATTAGTCCTTTTATCTGCCTGGTATTTGTTTTTGCTTTCGTTAGCGTTTCTCAACTTCAGCATAATTAACATTTGGGCTGGATGGTTCTTTTTCGTGGGAGGTTCTTTTGTACCTTGTAGAGTATTTAGTAGCATCTCTGGCCTCTACCTCCTATATGACAGTAGCAACTCTGCCCCCATCCTGGCCCAGTCATGACAAGAAAATGTATCTCCAGACATTGCCAAACATTCCCTGTGGGACAAAGTTGCACCTGATTGAGGACTACTTCAATAAAGAATGTTTAAAAAATTGAAACCTGATTTTTGAAATAGTTTAAAAGATATATACTATTTTTTTACTACTGTTATTACCTGGATCTAGAAACCACTCTGAGTATGTGGAGAGGATACAAGGAGAAGGACCAGGGCACAGATGCTTGAGCTGGTGGAACTTGGTAACCTTGCCCGAGTACTCATCAGAATTTCATCAGAACAGTCTTAAATTTTCAAAAAGAAATCAGCTTGTTTACCTATATCTGAAGGGTGCTTTATCTGGTTTTGTTTGTATTTTTGTTTTTGGATTTGTATCTTCCACTTTTTAGTTCTTGTTCATGATTATGTGGTTTAGTTGAAAGAGTAGCATGAAAAAGTGGGAGTAATATAGAGAACTGGATTGGAGAAAACCTAAATGTTCTAAATGTCTTTTATCTTCATATTTTTGATTTGAACAATGAAAATCTGAAAATCACTTAAACGAATGTCCTGAAAACCTTTAAAAAATTTAAAACAGTAAAGAAACTTTTAATGTAGAGAAAGAATTTTAAATTTCTTTTAGTAAAATTTAAAACTACATATGACTCAACTATATTTTTATTGGATCACTAGTCTTGTCTTAAATGTGAATTCATACATGACAAATCCCAAAACAGTAAGAGTGACATTGTCTATAATATATATTTTATAGAACGAGGGGACTTTTGTATAGAAAGGGCTTTTCATATCAATTTAATAGTATTTGTAGACTGTATTTTCTGCAAACCTTAGAACTGTGATGATGTAAATTTTTAATTTAAACTTAATTCAGGAGTTCAAGAACTTTTGAATTTTTTATAAAGTTTTTTAAAAAAAATTCAAATATGATATACTAAATTTAAAAGCAAAGATGAGCACTAATTAGTGCATTGGATTAGCTTACTGATTATTTAAGTTGTGGCTCTACCTACCATATCTGTATTTGAACTTACCTGTACCTGGTTATGTATAATTATAGAACTATTACAAATGTCAGAGCTTGATTTTTCCTATACTATGCTATCTAATCCAGTAAGACAAATTATATGATGAAGATGCTATAAGACTGTTCATCAGAATGGCTTTATAATTGTATACATTTATGGAATTAGAGCACCACCTAAGAACCCAATTTATAGATACTTTTTACTTTTTCTATTTTATATTAGGCTAAGAAAGACTTCTGCTGCAGCAAATATGGTTTGGAAAAACCCTAATTTAATTCAACACTCTCATTTTACAGATTTAGAATCTGATTCTAAGAAAAAAGTTCCCCAAATTTCACAGAAATAATTCTCAAGTAAAATTCAAGTTTCCTGATGTCCTAACCTTGTGTACACAAAGTACTTTCTATGAATGTAGTAATATTCTAAGAAATATAATATTGAGTAAGGTTGTTGCCTCTAGAGCATTATGTTTTTACATAATATAATTGTCCATTATATAATATAATTGTTTTGGTTTTAAATTCTATTTAAGATTTTTTCCCTGATTTACTCTGAATTGTTAATTTGACCTTTGGGTACACAAGCGAGAGGAGCTTTATCCATGATACTGGGAACTTTCTTCATGATCCTGTTGAGCAAGCACTGGAGAGGCATGTGCAAGTCTAATTGATATCTACAGAATGGGTTATTCTGTCCACCTGATTAAAAGTCTTTTCCATAGTAAGGTTCTTTGAACCTGCAGATACTCATTTTATGAGTCCTATCTTAGAAGCACATCCATTTTCTTCAGACTTTTTTGTAATCATCTAGTCTTTGCTCTTTCAGAATTGCTAATCATTCTGCAGAAACTATTGACCATTAATATGCATAGATTCATAACTCAAGCAATTTCTTCTTTAGGCAAAGTAGATACACTGGTAGTCCTAACATAAGGAAAGATTTTTAAATTTTAGAAAAATTTGAAACTACATATGGCTGTCAAAAATTACATAGTCTTGTCAATTGTGAATGTGCCTTTTGTTTCTTAAGGCCTCCCCTGGGCTGGGATGCAGTGCTTCAGCGGTTGTTGGTAACATCCTAATGCCTGGATGTTACTGGCATTAGGACCTCAGATAGTTTTTTTTTTCTCTTTGCTGTGAAACTCCCCAAGAGGCCACTTATATTGTTTGAGGGGGAAAGGCAGTGTGGAGGAGTAGGCTTCTAGTAGTTTGAGTAACCTGATCATGCACCTTTCCTATGTCTTTGGGCTTCTGTAGTTTATATTGTATATACCACCTTCATTTAATGACAGAGTCCTTCTGGCTACATCTTTTTATATCTAAAAAGAGTGGTGTGGTTCCTGAAAGACCTATGTATTTTTTTCTTTCCCATTTACACAGGTGAATGGTCACATCCTTTTCGGTGAGTGCAGGAAGAATGTTCTTGGTATAATCCAGCACAGTATCCTTTAACAATTCCTGGTCTTCCCTTTATGTAAGGAATTACAGGTCTGTAATCTGACTAAATTCTAGAAAGTGGGTTAAGACCTGTGATTTTAAATAATGGTGGCTTAAGAAGGCCTTTCTTATCCTGAAGTTTTTGGTTTATGTAAATGAAAGTCTTAGTGTGTTGCACATTGATTTTATTCTTGGAGACTGTAGCATCAAGTAAACATACCCTGTAATCTATAGATAAGAATATGCTGATTGCCACACCAAATTAATTATCTAGGTGGAAATAAAAACCATAGTCAGTACTCAGTTGTCCCTAAATCGTATTTCCTTCTCTAGCTTTCCAGTGGCCTGTTGCAGTTTGTGGACTTGGGTCTTAAGTCTTAAGTTTGTTCTACTCTTTTATCTGAGATAACATTTACACTTTGATAAAACTTCATATTTTTGTCCTCCACGCTTTTCTTACCTTTTTATCATCTTCTGAGTTTTGAGGTATTCTCTCACAATTTTCTCCAATAATCTTTATTTTGTGTTGCTTTCTCTAGTGCAGCTTTAATTTCTTATGTATGTGTTGTTCTTCCTAATCTATTGTTGCATCTTAATGACTACTTAGTCATATAAAAATATATTCTTTTGAGCTTTTTGAAAATAGGAATTGGACTTTTGAAAAGCAATTCTTTGCTGTCTCCTTTAGTATGTTTACTCCTGATGTTTAACCAAGAAACATTTCTTTGGTTTCTTTTAAGGGGTTCCTTCTTTTATTTTTTATTTTTACATTTACTGTTTTTCTTTCTCATCGTCATAGAAAGAAACTGGTACTTGACTGAGTTTATACTTTACAAGTGTCCTATTGCAGTAGATTTTGGTTCTTGTCTAAATTTGGGGAATATTTTATACTTAAACATTGGCCTACCATTTTTAGAATCCCAACAATCTAGAGAAAATTGGCTGGAGCCATAGCTGTAATAGAGAGCTTTGCCTCTGTGCTAAAGATTTCTTCCCCCACCCCTCAACTTGTGGCTAGCCATGCCAGTGGTGTACCTAACCTCCCTTAGGGTCCTTCCATGCCTGGCTTTTAGTGGTGGTGTCCAAGACTCAGCCTATAGCCCCTGATCACAGAATAATACTGGAGTAATATAATGATGCTGATAGGATTAAAATATTGCTGAGAGACAGAGTGGAGAGTGTAAAAGTGTGTCTCTTCTTGGTTCACCATATGCCCTTGCTTCCAACACTCACCCTTTTGAGTTACAGGTTTTTGGAAGAAACCTTTGACAGAAAGTAGTTTTGTCACAGGAGGAGGAGGTCTCCACTGGGCTCTTTTGGCTTTCTTCTGTTATGCCACATCTGTTTGGTATCTGGTAGAAAATTGTTAGTTTCTGGAAAATAAAGACTGCTCTTCTGTTTTCCAATGATTATATATATTTTTTATTTCAATAATAGAATTTTTTGAAAATCCGTAAGGCAGTGATCACTTAGATGCACTTTATCTCTCATCTTGTCTGACATATATAATTCTTATCAATATGTTCAAATTGTTAAGTACAGGTATAGAATTATTTTAAAAGTTTGTTTACATACCACATTTAAGGCTAATTTCATTTAATTTTGACAGCTGTCTGTCTAGAAGCTAATTAGTACTTATTTGCTTTTTAGAAAATGGATTCTACGACTCTGTTACCAACATTCTTCGATGTGGATCTGACAATATCACATATAGAATGTTTTCCCAAGGACATTCTGGTGAAATTTCAAGGCAGAAATAATATTGAATGTGAGTTTGACTACCATATATTACAGAGGGAAATCCAGCATGTTCCAAAAGTAAAAGGTAATGTGGACATTGATGAATTTTGTTTGGTAGAAGAGAGAGCATCTGGAGAATGGCAGAGAGGAAGAGTCGTGGGAAAGAAAAATGAACTCTACACAGTGCTCCTCATAGATCGTGGCGAAGAGCTCAGAGTCAGAGGTACACAGGTCGCTTCAGCCTGTGGCAACTTATTTGAGCTACCACCGCAGGTAGTATTTGGTGTTTTTGCCAACATACTACCAATTGAGGAAAAATGGTTTCCAAAGGCTTTGAATTATTTCAAGTCATTAGTAGGACTCCAAGTGAAAGGTTGTGTACAAGCTATTTTGCCTCTTCAAATGATTCTTCTTGAAGTGCCAAAAATTATGTCCCAGGTTCTTGAATTACAGTTAGGAAGACTTACTGACGGGGATTCCTTTCGTCTTATTGTGGAAATGTTAAAAGAATTCCCACAGCAAATACCAGATTTATCAAAACCTAGAAGACCTGAATTACCTTTAAGTAGTAATGATAACTTACTTGATACTCACCATGTCCTGGATAATTTGCAGCCGTCTTTGTCAGTAGGCGGTATTGAAAGTGTGAAGGTATCATCTGCATTGAGCCCAAGTAAATTTTATTGTCAACTGACTAAATGGATGCCAGAGTTAGAAAACTTGACAGTGTGTATGACTTTGCATTATGACATTGTCAGTCAAGAAAACAGTTCCACGTGTGATAATTTTGGGCTATTTTGTGTTGCCAAAAGGAGAAACGGACAGTGGCATAGAGGAATTCTCCAGCATCTCTTGCCCGATAATCAAGTGAAAATTTGGTTTATGGATTATGGCAGTAGTGAGGCTATTCCTTCAATTCATGTAAAGAAACTAAAACAGGATTTTATTTTAGTACCATTATTTTCATTTCCATGCTCTCTGACATATTTACATAGTCCAGATAGAGATGCAAGAAAATTTCAACTGAGTATATTTAAACAAGCCTTATTAGGAAAAATAGTATATGCACACATTGATTGGTTCAATAAGGATGAGCATTTGTATTATGTAACACTACAGACTCAAGAGTCTGTGGTTAATAAGTGTCCACTGAAGACTCTAGGCACCCAAGTACTTTGTCCAGTGTCTGATTCAAAACTCTCGAATATGTTCAGAAAGACAGGTGCTTCTGGTAAAAACAGCTTTGCAGTTGAGAGTTTTATTGGAAATACTGAACAGTCGATAGACTTTCTAAATAAAAAAGACACTTTGAATGTAAGTCTTCCTATTAAAACTGTAGAAATGGAGATAGAGACCGTCTATGTAGCTTGGGTAGCGTATGTTCTAAACCCATCAAATTTCTGGGTACGAACTAATGAACATCAAAGTGAATTTGAAGATCTAATGAAAAATATAAACAAATTTTATGACTTGTGTGAAAACGATGACTTGATTCTGAGAAATCCAGAATCTGGATTATTTTGTTGTGCTAGGTACAGCAAAGACAGATGTTTTTACAGAGCTGTTGTTACTGAAATTAATGGTCATAAGATTAATGTTTACCTTTTGGATTATGGGAATACTGATTCCATACCATTTTTTGATGTAAAAATTTTGCTTCCAGAGTTCTGTGAACTGCCTGCCTTAGCCATGTGCTGTTCACTTGCACATTTATTTCCTGTTGAAGATTTATGGGTAAAGGCAGCAATTGATTATTTTAAAAAAATTGTCTCGAACAAAGCAATTTTGCTTCAAGTTATAGCAAAAAAAGATGACAAGTATACTGTAAAAATGCAGAGTATTGAAGCCTCAGAAAATAGTGATGTTGTCTCTCTCATGTTACAAGCTAGATATGCAGAATATTGGGAGGTAGAACCAGAGTATTATCCAGAATCTTTAAGTGAATATTCAGTGTTAAATATAAAATCTAAAAACAAAGTTAAAATTAAGCAAGTCTTATCTTCCCTTCTTGAAGGGCCTAAACCTGAAAATTACTATTCAAATAAACTAAAAGAAGGAAACTTGTCTTCATTAAAGTCCCCAGCTGTTAATTTCTCAGATATAAAAAATCCTTTCACCTTGTCTGTGGGACTTGACTCACCATGTACTTATAAAGAATATATATTTAAACCAGGCACAGTCCTTGAAGTTAAGTGTTCTTGTTATTATGGCCCAGGTGACTTTTCATGTCAGCTCCAGTGTAAGTTAGATGACCTAAAATTACTAATGGAACAAATTCAGAATTACTATAGCAGTCATTCTGATCCTTACCAGGTTGGGCAGATTGCTTGTGTGGCTAAGTATTCCAAAGATGGGAAATGGTATAGAGCTGCTGTTTTGACTCAAGTATTGAAAAAAGAAGTTGACGTAGTATTTGTTGATTATGGTTACCAGGAAAGAGTTTTATTTAAAGATCTTTGTGCTATTAACCCACATTTTCTCTTCTTAGAAGGCCAAGCCTTTAGATGTAGTCTTAACCATTTAGTTGAACCCATTAGTTGTAAATTATTCAGTTGGACAAGAAAAGCATGCAGAGACTTTGGGGCTTTTATTTCTTCATCTAGAGGGTCATTGACGTGTGTCATCTATGCCTTAGTTCTCATTCATCCAAACTCTTTATGTAATTTAGTGGAGTTACAATCTCCATTTACTAGTGCAAAAGAATTTCTCATTAATCATGGTTCTGCACAGTATAATACATCATCAAAGCCATTCCCATCTTCAGTTAGTCTTTATAGTTACTGTTATTCTTCCTTTAATATAAAAATTGGAAGTGAGGAAGAAATATATATATCTCACATATATAGTCCCAAAAACTTTTATTGTCAACTTAGTAGAAATTATAAAGACCTAGAGATGATAGAAACAAAAATCACAGAGTTTAGTAACCTCAAAAATTGTTCAAAATATGATCCTAGTAAAATGAGATTATGCATATCTAAGTACACAGACGATGGTTTCTTTTACAGAGCTCTAGTAATGCCAACAGATTCATTATCTGACTTTCTGGTCTATTATGTGGACTTTGGAAATAAGCAGTTAGTTAAAGGAAGTATGTTGAGGGCTATTTCGGATGAGTTTCCAGAGTTGTTGTTTATACCTATGCAAGCTATTAAGTGTTTTTTGTCAGATCTTAGAGATGTAGATATTCCAGCAGAAATCAATAGTTGGTTTGAAGATAATTTCTTGGGAAAACCATTAAAAGCAATAGTATCATCCAGGGAGTCAGATGGCCAGCTAGGTGTAGAATTGTATGATGGGTATGAACATGTAAACCAGAAAATTAAAATGTTGCTTCATACTTGCAGAGAAAAACATTGCAACCAAGCGCACTGTGTGGGAAAGGGTTATAAAATAGATAAGAGACTTCCTGTTTCTTTGAAAGGCAAAGTAGAAAATGATCAGTTAATGAACCCCACAGGTATATATGCCAGGTTTTTGAAACCATCAGTTTGTTATAACATTGAACCTGTATCAGAAAACAAAATGAAGTCTTTGAATGATGGACTTAAAAATACAGATGTAAATATTATCCCTGGATCTGCACATGTTCTTGATGAAAGGGATGTGGGCCAGAAATCGGTGAAGGTTGTACCACAGTCTTGTATCAGAGCTTTAAATCAACCAGCATCTCAAAACCCATGTAATATTACTAGACCACAGATCAAAGACCTTCCTCCACCCAAAATTGACCTGAATGCCAAAGTTAAAGGATATGTTTCTAACATCAGTAATCCAGCAAGTTTCCATATTCAGCTTGCTGAGAATGAAAACGTCATCATCAAACTTACAGAGGCTCTAAATGAAAGCAGAGCAAATATAGCAAAAGAGAGAAAATCTGTTAAATTTATGGTGGGAGATCTTGTAGTTGCAGAGGACTCTGGTGCCAAGACTATGTACAGAGCAGTTATTAAGAAAATTTTGTCAGAAAGTTCTTTTGAAGTGGAATTTATTGACTATGGCAACACTGCAGTAGTAGACACAGCTAAAATTTTTGAACTTAAGAGGGAATTCTTAACTATTCCTCAGCTGGGAATCCATTCTTTTCTCAGTGGATTAAAGTGGAATGATCCTGATAAAATATGGGACAGCAAAACTGTGGATTATTTTGCTTCAAGAGTAACTAACAAAACAGTTTCTTGTGAATTTTTGCAAAAGCATGAGCAGAAATGGGAAGTAAATGTAATTTGTGCTAAAAAATGTATCATTAATGAGCTACTGAAATGGACAGCATGTTCAAAACTACAGAAAACAGCAGTGCAAATGCCTCAGGTTGGCTCTAAAAAAATGAGCCCTGGTAAAAATAAGAAGAATAGAAAATCACGTGGATCTGAAGGTTCTGTAATCCTTCAACCATCCTCCCAACAGCTGGTTAGTATTCCTTTTGAAGAGCTAAAACCTGGACAACTTGAAAAGGCTAAAATACTTTATTTTTCAAAAAGTGGGGTATTTTATGTGAAGTTATCTAAAAAGAAAAAAAAATTATCAGATTTAACAGTCTTAATGACTGAAGTTAAGAAACCCTCTTTATCAGTGGAAAATATTGAAAAAGGCTTAGACTGCCTGGCAAAATCTAATAAAACTTTGAAATGGTATCGATCCAAAGTAGAAAAAAAGTATGTTGATGAGAAAGTACTTGTTTTTTTAGTGGATCATGGTAGATATGAAATAGTGCCTTTATGTAATATCAAGGTGCTTATTGATGAAGTCAGAAATATTCCAGTGCAAGCTGTGCCTTGTAAATGGGTTTGGTTTGAAAATTTTAGGAATATGCCATTTGAATCCATTGTGTGTTTATTTGCAGATTTGGAAATAAACATCCTTTTCCTGAAATATTTAGACTCTGCCTGGGAAGTAGAAATTTTGGTAGATGGCCTGTCACTTTTGGAATATTTATACCTAAATACAGTTCATGTTCAAGAAAATAAACTTGGATCTTCAGAAATTTTCCATGTGAAATCTCAGACTCCTGTTTTATCTTGTGCAGTAAGGTCATTTACTTGGGCACGACTCCAGAATGGTAGACACTATTCTGGGATGGCCACTGCTGTTTCTGATCCATCGGACTTTTGTGTTCAGTTAGAAGATTTTTTTGACACAATGAAATCTCTCTTTATACTGCTTTCTGATCTGCCAGAAAACTTACAAACAGTATCTCAGGAGCACTTAATTCCTGGTTCTAGCTGTTTGTTCAAATATGAAATGGAAGATCAGTGGAATAGGGTAGAAATTTCTGAAGTCTCTGATCAGTCTTTACTTCTTCTGTTGATTGACTATGGATTTTCTGTTTACATACCTTCTTCAGATATAAAACATCTTAAAGTTGTTCCTGAGGAACTTTTGAATTTTCCAAGGCTGAGTTATCCTTGTATCTTACATGGCATCTTACCTGCGCAAGGGAAACATTGGAATGAAGAAGCTCAAAGTTTTTTTCAGGATTTCCTAAGTAAACCTGGCTTAATTTTTCATCTTAGGGAATATAGTTTTGAAACAAAACTGAAAGTAGATGTCTTTCATGGGAAAAACAATTTGGCAGATATGTTAGTTGCATCTGGTCTTGCAGTATATTCTAAAGGTTCAGATCATCTTGATGCAGTTACTACTACTGGATCTAACAAAACCTGCTATAAATTGCAGAGTAAGCCTGTTTGCCCAGTGTTAGATCAAAATTGTTATAAAAGAGAAAATACAAGTTGTACATGCACTGAGAAACAAAAGCTAAGACAGAAAACTATAAAGAGGAAAGATGTCTTTAAGAACCTCTTAAGGAAAAGCCGTATGAGTAAAAGATTATATTCTAGGAAGTTAACGCTGAGGAAGGAGGTTGATAGAGGAAAACATAATCCCCAGAGTACCGTTGCATTGGATACGTGTACAGCAACTTCATTTTGGAAACTACCTAATGGTTTGAAGAATGACTCCAATTATTTTGAAAACATTTTTGAAAAACTGTCAACTGAAGGAATACAGGAAAATAACAGTGGACTTGAGAACATCAATGAAAGCACTGCATGTTAATGAGAAGTTGATATTAGAAGAACACTTAAAAAGTAAGTAGCAATTTAAAAAAAATAGATTTTTTTTTAGAATTTTTGGTTCTTTAAAACTTTACTGTGTACTAAAATTATCCAAACTGATACCACACGGAAAGAAAACTTACTAGAAAATCTGAATGAATGGATAAACTGGGAGTGATCACTTGAATTATAAAATGCTTCACTATTTTTAACTTTTTTGAATGGTGACCTTTGAGAATGTAATGAAAGTAGAGGATTTTAACCACATGCATGCACACACAACATGACACTTCACAAATAAGTTCAGGGGTTTCACAAAACTCCTGAAGGTCCGTAGACCTCAAGTTAATCTTATTACTAATGAGCTTCTGGGCTCATCTTGAATCAATTATCTATTACATACTATGCTTATCAGATGAAATAAATCTTAAGGGTTTTTGAGTGTGCTTCTGGAATATTGCTAATGCAATTAAATTTATAGAATAAACTGACTCTAGCATATTTCCTCTTTAAACTTTTAAACTTCACACTGGTTCTAAAATGTTAAAATTTTAATATTCTATGTGCTATAGTATTGTTTGGTTTTGCTTATGCACATTATATTTCATTTTCTGTATGGGTTGGTTACTGATGATTTTGTAGGCTATAAAGGATGTTCCCTGCTTATTGAATGAATATTCTGACTTTATAAATTTGTATGTTATTCCATATTACAACTGGTATCATAACAGATATATCCTGTCAATGAGTGGAAGTGTCTTGTTTTTGATGTATTTTAGAGTATTTCATTTGGATTCATATTTACATGTTTAATAGTGAATTGATAAGTGCTTCAAAGTTGGCCCTTTGTCCTTATTTTTGAGTCATCTTTTATTGTAATGAAAGTTTTTGTAGAATGCTTACTGTGTCCCAGGTACTATGCTGAGTTTTATATGAATTATCTTATTTAAAGCTTCCCGCAACTCTGTAAAGTGTGTTGATATTAAGGCTTAAAGGGAGTCTTAACTAGTACTCCACTTCTTTGCCTGAATTCTTAACCATTTTAGAGAAAGACAAGGAGAAAGACATTGGTGAGCAAATTCCTACATTAAAAAAAACAAACAAAATAAACGATATTGATGAATGTGACATGTCTATGGGCAAATGGGTTTACCAGTACTGAATCAACAATCTAAACTTACACAGGTGCAAAGGAGAGCTTCTCCATATCGGGGTGAGTTGTGTTTCCATGTAAGATTTGCAGCTTGAGGCAGTTATCTCCAAAAGGGGAGCAAGGAAGAAGAGGCTAGTCTAACACATACCCTTCATCTAAATGGACCTATCAGATTGTCCCTGTTTGTCATGTGTAAGTAGGGGCGCGAAGAGACCAGAGGTGTGTTGTGCTGAGAGAGTGCCTCACTCAAGTACACATGGAGGGAAACATCAGGAATGGGACAAGCATACCCCCAAGTTTTTGCTATTTTATGGATGAGGCTCAGGGAAATAAGCAAACTGTCTCTAGATATAAAGCTGGTATGTAAAGGAACTGAGATTTTAAACTCAGATGTCTCCAGACCCAAAGTCTGCTTTTATTATTGCATTTTGAAGAATAGTTAGATTAGGAAGAGTTTTCTATAAACTCTCAGATGTCAATCCATACCTTTTGACACTTACATAGTATCTTTCATTCTTTTCCTTGTGTATATTTTTACCTTTTCTTTTTCCCATCAAATTTTTTAACTCACTTTTGGTACCTGCCTCCATCCCACCTCCTGTGGTGAACCAGTAGTGAATTAAAGTGAAAGTAGCTTTTCCAAAAACAGAACAAACATTTCTTTACACCTCTAAAAATAGCAGGGTTTCATGGAAGACTGATATACTTGCTGTAATTATACTTTTAAACAAAATAAGAAAACGTAAAACCGGTTTAGTTGCCTTGAATACTATCCACGTTCCTACCATCTGCATTACTCATTCAGGAGCAGTACTAACCACTACTGTTTGCTGCTGTGATTGTCTGCATGTGCCTGAGTCTAGGGAAAAATAGTTATAGTAATTCTTTTTGGTTGAAAATACCAATATTTGACACTCTTTTGCCTGTTAAGAAAGTTAGAAAAGGGAGTTTAATAACAGTGCTTTTCGACCTAGGCTTTTCATTGGAACTAAGAAAGCTTAAAATCTGGTGCCTGGTTCTCACTTTTAGAGATTGTTGTTAGCTCGTCAGAATCAGGATTTTAAATTAGGATTTAAAATCTCCCCAGGTGATTTTAATGTAAGCCAAGGCTGAAAACCAATGTCCTAGGGAGTATTGTGGGTAGTTCCCTGAATTATTTTGTGAGAGAAAATAATTCTGGACTTAATGTGTGAAAGTGCTTAGAATCTGTTCTTCCTGAATTTGGAGTCCAGACTATACCTAATGAGTTATGGTAATTCTGTGCTAAACTAATTCAGAGTAACACAATAGTAAAAATGTCATATTAGAAATGGCCAAGAAGTACAGTACATTTATTTTATCTTGCCCAGGTATTGTTTTAATTATAGAAGTTCATGCCCCTTTTATTGAGAAAAATTGGTTTTACTTTCCCATAGTTTCAGCCTACTATAACATACCAATATTTAGATACCCAAGGTAATTGTTTTTACTTTTATACTGTTTTCTCCAAAATAAAAATCAGTAGTCTTTTTCCAGGATGTTTTTGCAGGTTTTTTTTGTTGGTTGATTGCATACTTGTTTAAGTCCTTGACTAGATCATTATGGGAACTAAAGAATGTAACAACCCTTTAAAAAAAAAAAAAGAGCAAAACAAAAATATGAGACCAGAGGTGTGTTGTGCTGAGAGAGTGCCTCACTCAAGTACACATGGAGGGAAACATCAGGAATGGGACAAGCATACCCCCAAGTTTTTGCTATTTTATGGATGAGGCTCAGGGAAATAAGCAAACTGTCTCTAGATATAAAGCTGGTATGTAAAGGAACTGAGATTTTAAACTCAGATGTCTCCAGACCCAAAGTCTGCTTTTATTATTGCATTTTGAAGAATAGTTAGATTAGGAAGAGTTTTCTATAAACTCTCAGATGTCAATCCATACCTTTTGACACTTACATAGTATCTTTCATTCTTTTCCTTGTGTATATTTTTACCTTTTCTTTTTCCCATCAAATTTTTTAACTCACTTTTGGTACCTGCCTCCATCCCACCTCCTGTGGTGAACCAGTAGTGAATTAAAGTGAAAGTAGCTTTTCCAAAAACAGAACAAACATTTCTTTACACCTCTAAAAATAACAGGGTTTCATGGAAGACTGATATACTTGCTGTAATTATACTTTTAAACAAAATAAGAAAACGTAAAACCGGTTTAGTTGCCTTGAATACTATCCACGTTCCTACCATCTGCATTACTCATTCAGGAGCAGTACTAACCACTACTGTTTGCTGCTGTGATTGTCTGCATGTGCCTGAGTCTAGGGAAAAATAGTTATAGTAATTCTTTTTGGTTGAAAATACCAATATTTGACACTCTTTTGCCTGTTAAGAAAGTTAGAAAAGGGAGTTTAATAACAGTGCTTTTCGACCTAGGCTTTTCATTGGAACTAAGAAAGCTTAAAATCTGGTGCCTGGTTCTCACTTTTAGAGATTGTTGTTAGCTCGTCAGAATCAGGATTTTAAATTAGGATTTAAAATCTCCCCAGGTGATTTTAATGTAAGCCAAGGCTGAAAACCAATGTCCTAGGGAGTATTGTGGGTAGTTCCCTGAATTATTTTGTGAGAGAAAATAATTCTGGACTTAATGTGTGAAAGTGCTTAGAATCTGTTCTTCCTGAATTTGGAGTCCAGACTATACCTAATGAGTTATGGTAATTCTGTGCTAAACTAATTCAGAGTAACACAATAGTAAAAATGTCATATTAGAAATGGCCAAGAAGTACAGTACATTTATTTTATCTTGCCCAGGTATTGTTTTAATTATAGAAGTTCATGCCCCTTTTATTGAGAAAAATTGGTTTTACTTTCCCATAGTTTCAGCCTACTATAACATACCAATATTTAGATACCCAAGGTAATTGTTTTTACTTTTATACTGTTTTCTCCAAAATAAAAATCAGTAGTCTTTTTCCAGGATGTTTTTGCAGGTTTTTTTTGTTGGTTGATTGCATACTTGTTTAAGTCCTTGACTAGATCATTATGGGAACTAAAGAATGTAACAACCCTTTAAAAAAAAAAAAAGAGCAAAACAAAAATACCTAGTTGTAAAAAAAAACAGTGCTTTATGTTGATAACATGCTAACTTCTAATATCTTGGAAGGAAATCTAGAATGGCAACTCATTTTTAGAGAAGAGTTTTGTTTGACATTTTAAATTTGAGGTAATAGCTAGACATTCAATGAGGAATGGATGATCAGCATGCAAAATATTAGAATGAATTTTGAAAATACAAGATTAGTAAGTAATACAGATTCATGAATCACTTGCATCGGATCTAGTGTACTAGTTAAAAGTATGGGCATTGATGCCCTCCTCTGAGTTTGAATTCCTACCTCCTCCCTTATGAACTGTGAAAGAGTGGGTAAGCTATTTAACCTATCTGTGTCTCAGTTTCTTCATTAAGTGGAGATGATGGTAGTAACTACTCCATTGGCTGGTTGTGAAGATTAAGTTAAAACACTTAAAGCATTTTCACTAGTACATGATATATCGTAAATGCTCACTGTTAGAAATATGGGTAACCTTCCTACTAAAGCTACTATATTCTGAAAATATTTTGTGAAATAGTAACTTAAATTTCTGTTGCTCTGCAGTATATGGAAATATTTAGGAAAATGTATACATACATGTGAACACACACATATAGTTCCCCCTTATTTGTAACAGTATGCTGTGATAAAAGTTATGTGAATGTGGTCTCTTTCAAAATATCTTACTGTACTCATCCTTTTTATGATATGAGATGATAAAATGCTTATGAGGTGAGGTGAACATTACAGGCATTATGATGAAGTGTTAGGCTACTGTTGACCTGATGATGATATGTCAGGAGGATTATCATCTGCTTCC